TCTCTGGACACTATCTGGGTGTCCTACAATTTAATTCATTCTGACACCAACTTCCTGGAGTTAGCATCATATCTCACAAGGTAAAGACTCGGTATCATAAGGCTATCCCCACTTCAAATGTCAGTGGTTTGGGACTTGTGACTGACTGGATATAAATCTAGGGAGCTCCCACATTTCCTTCTTCATGTTCAATAATGTTCCAGAATGCCTCACAGAGCTCAGCAAAACAGTTTAATTGCTATTCAAGTTTATCATAAAGGATACAACCTAGGAATAGCAAGTAGAGCATAGAGCATAGTATATGGGAAGGGATGCTGAGCTTCCATGCCTTCTCTGGGTGTGCCATGCTTGCAGCACTTTCATGTGTTCACCAACTTGGAAACTCTCCAAATCTGGTATTTTGGGGGAGTTTTGTGGAGATTTTATTACATAAAAGGCATGATTGAATCATTGGTATTGGCGATCAATTCAATCTCCAGCCCTCTCGTATCACTAGAGGTCAGGAGTGGGGCCAAAAGTTCCAATCTTCTTATCATGCTTTGGTTTTTTTGGTGACTAGCCCTTATCCTAAAGCTATTTAGAAACCCCCAACCACTAGTCACATCATTAGCATACAGAAAGACACTTATCACTCTGAAGATCCCAAGGGCCTTAGAAGCTCTCGTGTCAGAAACCAAGGACTAAGACCAAATATTACAGCAAAAGATGCCAAGTTCTCAATTTTTCTCTACCCTACCCCCACAGGTTAGAAGCTCCTTGTATGACTCCAAGAAGCTCTTTAACTCACTCTTAGTTTTTTGTTATCTGTATTCAGAGCATCAATTGAGTTTAGCAACAGCCACACACTTCTTTTGTTATTTTAATTTCTACTTTGCCCATATTTCTTAAATTCCTGACCTTGGAATCAACTAATAGATTCCATTACATTGCTATACCATCCCAACACAGCACCCATAAAACTTTTGACAATAGGATAACTGTGCCAGGGCTCTCAGTGCTTTACCTACCACCAGCGATGGGGTCCTCATTGTCAGCCAGGTAGCAAGTGATCTGGCTCCAAAACTCCATCTTAGCACCCATTTTCTTAAACCACTCCTAGTATCAAGTATAAAGGTTCTGTTTCTTGGAAAACATATTCTAAGACAGAGTTCAGTGTCAGGATGTTTACTAAAGAGTGAGTTTGAAATCAGTACTTCTGGAAAGCAGAAGTGAAAAGAGGGAGAACAACAATGTTGGCCAAGCCACGAGGAGCTCTCTAATGAGACACACCTTTAAGATTGTCCCCTGATGGAACAAGATGGCCAGGCCCTTATCCATTGTTGTGTCCACTCCCCACACCCGGAGGGAGCATGACCTTGTGTAAGGTTGGCTTTCTGAGGGCATCCCTGAAAGGGCTGATGCAGAGGCTTGTCTGCTGGCAAACTCCCATACCTGAAGTAACCAGCTCTTCATTTCTGATATCTTCCTTGGGGAGGCAGGATTCATAATGTGAGTATTACCCACATTTTTGTTATTTGGGTAATACTCACAGATCTGTGTGGGGAATCTCAGTACCTACTACAATGTTCCAAACCAAATTCTTGAAATCATCCAACATGATTTCTCCAAATAGGATCCTTTCCCAGTCTTCTCCATTTCAGAAATCCATCCACCAGTTTTGAAATTAGAAACCTTGAAGTCCTTCTTAATATCTCTTTTTTTTTTCCACCAGCTATTCACAATATAGACTAATATTAAATTCAGGCATTTTATCTCCAAATCATATGTCATATTTTGTCTCTATAGCTTGCCATCATCCTATCTAATTTCCAATCATATCTCATCTGGACAACACCATAGTCTTTTTGCTGGTCTCCATGTTTCCTTTCTTGCCCTTTTCCAATCTATTCTCCACACATGAGCCAGTATGAACCTTGTGAAGTATTAATTGGATTTCCTCAAATCCCTTGGCTTCAAACCCTTAAGGGCTTCCTACTATATTTAGAATTAAATACAAACTCCTTCTCATCTCCCACAAGGTTTTGAGTGATTGGTGCCCTCTCCAATCTCATCACAGACCCTTTTCTCTATCATTCACCACCCTGTAGCCATGGTGGAATTCTTTCAGTTCCTAGAAGCTACTAAGCATTTTCCTGACATGAGTAAAACATTCTCCATTTTCTTCTAATGACTGCTTTTTGCATGGTGAGGTCTTTATCATCTTTCAGATGTCAACCTTACGTCTTCTCAGAGAGCTATTTTTGTGACGTGCGGTGACCTTGGTTTTTTTCCTTTATGGAGGTTTAGCATCTATTTAATATTCTTTTATATTATAAAAGAATGTCATTAATACCCACATTATTAATCCTGCCTCCCCAAGGTAGATACCAGAACTCAACTTTCCAGTTTCAATGCAGCTGGAGTGCAAGTCTGTGATCCAGGGTCTATGGGTCAGCTGCACCCAAGTCAGCCTTCCACTGAGAAGGGACTAACTGGAAGAGCTAGTCTCACCAGTACTTACCGTTCATAAAGCAGGTGATGGGGGTGATGAGCTATTTTGGGCAGTAATGATGGAGATTCTGACAGCCCATCCAGAGCATCATTGGTGGAGTGGAGATTTGGGAAAGCTGTTGTTTTCGAGCCAAGTGGTGGTGGCTACACAGCTTTTGCCGGACCAGACCCTGGGGTGTGGTTGGCCATTGTTCCTGGCTCCCCAGTTTTCCCATAGACCCTGTGAGTCACCTTTCATATATTGATAAATTCATTTTCTTCTAGTGACAACCACAGTGGATTCCATTGTTTGTAATTGAAACCTAACATTTATAATCTCCCATCAAAGGCACATTCATTCATTATTCTCTATCTTAAAACTCTCTTTGTTTCTGTCACTGCATTAGCACAACTTATAATTATGGGGTGTGGGGCAGGGAGGGTTGTGTGTGTGCGCATGTGTGTGTTTTCTGTCTCTCTACTAGATTATACACTCCTTGGGGGCAGGGTCTCTGTATTTTACATTCAGCACTGCATATCAGTCCTCTAGTCCATTCATTTAGTAAACTTTATGGGACCCTTTCTATGTGGTAGACACTGACAGAGGTACTAAGAATAATATGGGATTCCTCCTCTCAAAGTGCTCATATCTTAGTTGGAGGGACAGACAGAAATTAATCATTAAACTCTCATACTGTAAATATGCTGATAAAAATTGCCAAGGGTTCTTATAAGCTTACTGAGGAGGCTCATCCAATGTAATCTGTGGGGAAAGAGAGGAGGTGAGCCTAAGAAGAGGCAGAAAACCAGGAAGGGGAGGAGTAGAAAACGTTCTAGGAAGAATTTTAGGAAATTATGCCAGCAGCAGCTTACCAGTGTGAGTAGGAGTCTGACAAGCTAAAGCAGGGGAAGTAGGGGATGAAAAAGACAATTTCAGGTAAAGAAGGAAGGTCCCACAGCAATGAGTAGCCTGGTGGAGGGAGGTGGAATTCCGTGAGAGGGAGGCAGGTGAGAAAGAGCAAGGTTCGGGGAGGCTGAGAAGGCAGGCAAACAGTGGATTGTGAATGAAGATTTCTAAAATTATGCCTGTATATGGAAAAGGCTTAGAAGAGAATATGAAAAAAAAAAGAAAGAGAATATGATAAAATGAAGAGATTAGTTTGAGTGGTTTTAATTTATTTTTTATTTCCTTCATAGATATTCACACATTCCTTGTACCATTATTTCATCAATTAACAAAAGTTTTAAAAATTCTTTTCCAATGATATCTTCACCACATACTCGCCATGCTTCTATTGTGTATTTCTCAAAATTGCTATATCATTATGTGATATTATTATTTTTCCATATTTATTTCTCCCTATAGACTATATTTCTCAAGTAGACATTGTGCAGTCTATCACTTCAAATCCCCATGATTTTTTAACTCCTTGGTAAGCATAGCACTAGCATTTTATAAATGGCTGTGGAAGGAATATGCAAGATCATACTTAGAAAACTTTAATGTAAAAGGAGACTTTTCTTTTTCTATGATTGATAATGTGTAATATTCACACAAGAAGTTTAAAATGTTTCACTGCAATCTATGCTATTTCATGGCCTATGGCTGCAAAGAATTGTTTTAAATAAGTTGTTTAGCTAGGTAATAATACACATCGACTCATATCTAGCTTTTGTAAATAATGAAGCAGAACTCAAACACTGATTAAAACATCAAGTTATGATTCATAATCCCACCAAGATTCACATACATTTTCTATATAGGATGCAGAACAATCACTTTTCTAAGTAACCTTTCAACCTGTTAATTCTCAATGAAAATGTCTCCAGAGTGTTGACTGAAGGGCCTCTGCTTCATACTCCAGGTAGAAGGAGACTTCTCACAAAATTGTTATCACAGGCATGCAAATAAAGAATGAAATGGGATACCACCCCCTATTCATTCTTTACTTTATATAGACTCTGGTCTAAAATGCTAAAATATAGACTAGTGAACAAGCTTTTGTAAATGTATCAGCAACAATGCCATCAGAGGCTGCATCTCTCTAACTCCTCTCTATCTTGTTTCTCAGGGCCACGTGGGCCTATTCTGCTTTCAATGGGTTAATTACCAAGGAAGCATTTTTCCTCTGTGGTCTAGACATAGAAATATCCAGATATTGTTTCCCTTGAAAGGCAGCCATCCTGCTGAATGTACTTGATCACAAATTCTTATGTTTTTCTTAGGCCAGATGGGGCTAAACACAATTTCTGAAGTCTTTTTTCCTTTTTTTTTTTTAAACCGATTAACAGCTTGTTTGTTTTCTATTGAGGATGCTGCCAGGCTAACAGAGGGAAGGAGAAGAAAATTCCTTAATTGTTAAGGTGGAGAAACTAAAGAACCATGGATTTGCTTTTGCCAAGAGGAAACAATCCTTGGACCTAACAAATAAGCATAGAAAAAAAGATTACTCAATATTATATAATTTTAGTAGTCAGTACATAATGGAGATTTTGAAAATTATATAATTGTCTTAACTGAAACTTGAAGGTGTATATGTGTGTATAATTACAGATAAGTAGAAAGTGAGAGAAAAACAGAAATTTCAACCTTTGGGAAAAAAACCTTAATCCTGACATTGCTAACTATCTCCATATCCTTGGATAAGTCACTTAACTTGTCTGAGGCTTTGTTTGTTCATATGTAAAATTTTATATCTAAAATTTTTTGACCTCCTATGATTCTCTGCCAAGAATATTCTACGTGGATGCAGCACTATTTCTCCTCTGTTGTCTGCCCCCCTCTCTGCTCCCTGTGTTTAGAGACACTATCTGCTTGCTTCTGAGGGAGTTACATAATAAGTGAGAAGTGAAGACAGCTGAGCCTGATGTAAAAACATGATAAATAGCCCAATGTCCCGAACGCACCTTCCCTGTGGAGGCTGAGGAGCTCCATACTCCATGCAGACGTGGGAAGGATTAACTGGTACTCCCGCCGAGCACGGACTGGCACAGGGGCCAGGCACATGCAGGCCACATGAGGTTACTCCAAGGCATCTTCTTTCCGAGAGGACTTGGACTTGCCCTCTCCCATCACAGTCTCAGATTCCTGAGTCCCAGAGGCCCCCAGTGCAGCCACAACGATCGGCCTTGCCAGGAACAGTGGTAAGTAGCAAGAGCGCAACCCTGACCGTAGCAGGACTCCCTCCAACTCCTAATGACTCGGGCAACTTGCTTGGCCACCACACTGTTTTCTCCCAACTTTGCTAAAATAGCCAAGTCTGCAATGGCTGATGTCCAGTAGTGACATTTCCATTTCAGGCCAGGAAACTAAAAAAAAAAATGTTTAAAAAATATAAAAGAGTTAATATGATTAATGTTCTTGAAAACTGAAAACTTTTTTTTAGTCTCAAAAACATCACTGAAGTGGCTGGAGGAACTGATCACTTTGGGTTGCTCTGTGACTAAAGGGACACATTACCCAAGTCCCCAGTGGATAGGAGGCCAAAATCTGTTCAGATACTGGTGAACCACGTGGCAATAATGAAGGCCAAATTGGAAAATGATAGGAACTTTGCCTCTCACAGGCCAAGTCCCTCAGTAGAGGCTCACGGCGCCCTCCGTGGCGTTACTGAGACTGGGCCTCTCATTTCTTCCTGAAATGCCTGTTCCAACAATATTAGACACACTCTGGAAGCAACTACACATTTCTGAATGATGAGTTCCGAGGTGAAGACTTGTCAGTAGTATGGTAATGTGGATGAAGGCAAAATATTTTATTTGGTGGTAGAATGGTCTGGCTCTTAAAACGACACTGCAAAATTTAGTTTGCAGATGAAGTTGCTCATCAAAGTTTTGTGTCAAATTCATTGTTGCAAAAGAAAACTAACCCTCCCTCACTATTTTTTCTTCTCATCGCATGTTAGGTGTCACATTAAAGCATACCAAAATGGCAAATTCAACCTGAGGGCTAGATTTTTAATGCAAAACTCCACACCAGATTGTTTTCTTTAGACATCTGTGGGTACATTTTCCAGCCCTATCTCCCCATCTCAAAAAAAAAAGAGGAAGAAGAAGACAACTTTCAAAATCTAAATATAGTTTAATTCTAATTCTATCCCGTTGTCTAAACACCACTAAAGTGGTTGAAGGCACTGATCGCTTTTAGTCACTCTGTAGCTGTGCATCCCAAGGGATGCATTAGCTGACACGAGGCCGACTGCTCAGACACTGGTGAGCCAGCCCCGTAGGAATAACGAAGGCTGACTCAGCAAGTGATAGGAACATTGCCTTTCACTGGCCAATCCCCTTACCAGAGGCACACAGAGCCCTTCATGGAGTCACCCCCACTGGGCCTTTTGTTTCTTTCTGAAGTGTGTGTTCCAACACACTTTAGAAACACTCTGGAAAGAGCAACACATTTCTCAACAGTGTGTTCTGAAGAGAAGATTTGTCCACAATGTGGTGCTATGCAGTATTCCATTTGTGACAACGCAACCATTTATTAATCCATTCTACTCTTAACAGGCACTTCCATAGTTTTCAGGTTTGTTTGGTTTTTTTTTTTTTTTTTTTTTTTTTTTGCTTTTATGAATAGTGCCACTAAGATCATGTCTTTTGATAAAGCAATGTACACATTTCTGTTGGTTATTTACCTAAGCATCATATTGCTTAGGAGACGTTGCCAGACTGTTTTCCAATGTGGTTGTACCAATGTAGACTACTACCAGCAGTACCTCACAGCCAATTCCTGTTGCTTCACATCCTCATTAGCACCCAATATTCTCTGTCCTTTCTGGTTTAACCATTCTTGTGGATGTGTAGTACTGTCATGTGGTGGCTTTTCGCTGCACTTTCCTGAAAACTGAGATTGAATATTCTTCATAAGTTTATCAGCCACCATTTGAGTATCTTCTTTTATAAACTCTCTACTCAAGTATTTATCTTTCTATTGGGTAATCTGCCCTTTAAAAAAAAACATGCAAGAAAGACTTTATCGAGGGCTACTATGATACATTAGAAGAGAGAACACCCAGTCAGAACTCAGTTTGAGCTCGGTTTAGCTGAGACAAAAGGCTGGAGATGTTTTAAGGGCCAGGGTGGAGTTTGGAAGATCCTAGGGCCATCAGTGTTTGCTAATTGGTGCCCATTAAAGTTAGGCTCCTATTCTTCACAAATGCTGGGAGATAGAGATGCTGTCCTTCTTGATGATTACATTTCAAAGAGATTGCTCCTAGGGACTTAACAAGTTAGTCCTGAGTTTTAAAGCAGGAGGGAATCTTCCCCCCGCCCCCCCCCCTGGCATATTATGGGGGTATGGGAGGGAATCTTTTAGAAATATTTACATCTCAAAGGAACAAAGGAAGAATTTACAATTTTGAGTTTTCTATAGTAAATGCTCTAAGAAAAGGGAGCCCTGGGGCATAGAGTCAGGAAGGAACCTGTCTAAATTTACTAAAGCTGAGAGGAACATTAAGGTTTTCTTGGTTAGTGGGAATGACCACAGATGATGGAAGCACACATTCTATTTTGCTCATTGTCTTAGTATACTTGCTTATATAGAGTGTAATTAGCTGTAGAGAGAATTAGAGCATCTGGATTCTAACCGGAAACCATGGGTGGCTCTGAAAAGCTGTCTCTAGTTCCTTCTCCATGGAACAAGATTGTGCTTTAGTCTCCTTTTGCTTAGCTGTACCCAAAAGATTGTAAGGCTCTGGATTAAGGAAGAATTCTTATCGTTAATATCTAAATAATTTTAACACTTCCTCTGTTTAATGTAATTCCTTTTATGTTTTTAATTCAGGATATTATGTGGGTAAAAATATTTTGGTTACATGAAATGCGTTTGCCTTGACCAAGCAAGGGCTATGAGCGTGTCCATCCCTCTTACAGTGTGCCCTGCTTCCATTAGCTGTGGGTTTCACCCACCACTCCCTCCACCCCCTACCCTCCCATACCTGACCGGCTCCCAGGGAGTATTGCTACCATGTGAGCACCTTAGTGTTGATCAATTAGTACCAATTTGATGGCAAGTATATGTGGTACATGTTTTTCCATCCTTGTGATACCTCACTTTGAAGGATGGGCTCAATCTCTATCCAGAATAATACAGGAGGTGCTAGATCACCATTGTTTTTTGTAGTTGAGTAGTATTCCGTGGTATATGTATACCACATTTTATTAATACACTTATGGAAATTGATGGGTACTTGGGTTGTTTCCACATCTTTGCAATAGTGAATTGTGCTGCCATAAACATTCTAGTGCAGATGTCTTTATTATAGAATATCTTTTTTTTCCTTTGGAAAGATTCCTAGTAGTGCTATTGCTGGATCAAATGGTATTTCTTATTGTGTCCTTTCCTGTCAGGGTCTGGCTTCATATAATGAGTTAGGAAGGATTCTCTCCCTGATGTTAAAGTACAGTTTTAGTAGGATAGGTGCCAGTTCTTCTTTGTTGATCTGATAGAATTTGGCTGTGAATCCATTTGGTCTGGGGATTTTTCTTATTGGAAGGTTTTTTATTACTATTTCAATCTTGCTATTCATTATTGATCTGGCCAGGATTTCTATTTCTTCCTGATTCATGCTTGGGAGGTTCTGGGTTTCCAAAAATTTATCCATTTCCTCTAGATTTTTTATTTAATAGTTTGTTTGCATAGTGCTTTTCATAGTAGGCTCTGATGATATTTTGTATTTCTGGGATATCAGTTGTAATGTCTCCTTCTCCTTTTTCCTTTCTGTTTGAGCTTATTTGAGTTCTTTCTCTTCTATTTCTGGTTAATATAGCTAGGCTTTTTTCCCATTTCTTTTAGCCTTATTTATTTATTTCTACTAGATTTGGGTTTAGTTTGTTCTTTTTCTAGTTCCTTGAAGTGTGACATTGGGTTGTTGTGATCCTTCTATCTTTTTGATTTAAGGCTACGAACTCCCCCCTTAGCACTGCTTTAACTATACTTCACAGATTTGGAAACTTGTGTCCTCTTTGTTGTTCAATTTAAAAAACCTTTTGACTTCCACCTTAGTTTTGTCATTGACCAAAGGATCATTCAGCGGCAGGTTGTTTAATTTCCATGACTTTGTATAGATTTGAGAGTTTCTCTTGGAATTGATTTCTAGTTTAATCTATTGTTGTCTGAAAAGATATGTGGTATGATTTCAATTTTTCTGAATTTGCTGAGACTTGTTTTGTGGCCTAACATAGTATCTTTCTTGGAAAATGTCCCATGTGCTCATGAGAAGAATGTATAGCCTATAATTTGGGGGTATAATGTTCTGTAAATATCTGTTAGGTCCATCTGTTCTTGAGTTCCATTTAAGTCCAGTATTTCTTTCTTAATTTGGAGTGTCAAAGTCCCAGGCCATTATAATCCTACTGTTTGTTTCTTTGCTTAGATCTAGTAGAATTTGTTTCATGAATCTGAGAGCTCCTGCTTTAGGTGCATATATAGCTAGAATTGTTATATTTTCTTCCTCCTATTATCATTAAATAATAATTATCTTTGTATTCTTTTTATGATTATTGATTTAAAGTCTAATTTACCTGATATGAGAATAGCTACACAGGCTCACTTTTGATTTCCATTTCAGTGGAATATTTTTTCCACCCTTTTAGCTTGAGTGTATGAAAATCCTTGTGAGTTAGATGGGTTTCTTAAAGATATTATATACTTGGGTTGTGTTTTTCATCCATTCAGTCAATCTGAATCTTTTAAGTGGAACATTAAGATTCTTTATGTTCAATGTTAGTATTGATATGTGAGATATTGTTCTGTTCATAATGTTGAATGATACCTAGTTTCTTTTTTTGCCCCTTGTGTTACTGTTTTATAATAGCTATGAACTTTAACTTTTGGACATTTTTATGCTGATGGGTATTGATTGTACTGTTCCATGTATAGAGCACTTTTAAGCACTTCCTGTAGGGCAAATTTAGCGGTGACAAATTCCCTTAGTGTTTGCTTGGCTGGGAAAGACTTCATTTCTCCTTCATTTGTGAAACTTGGTTTTGAAGTATACAAATTCTTGGCTGGCAGTTATTCTGTTTAAGAAGACTAAAAATAGGGCTTCAATCCCTTCTATCTTACAAGGTCTCTGCTGAGAAGTCTGCAGTTAGTCTGATGAGTTTTCCTTTATAAGTTAGTTGTTGCTTTCATCTCACTGCTTGTAGGATTTTCTCCTTCACTTTGACTGTGCCAGACTGATGACTCTTTGCCTTTGTGATGTCCTATTTGCTATGAATCTTCCTGTGCTTATGATTATCCACATATCTGGATATCTAAATATCTAGTGATACCAGGGAAGTTTTCCTCCATTACTTCCTTGAATAGG